GCCGCAGAGGGGATGACTCTGGCTGCAACCAAGCTCTGAGCTCCTACCTCAGTGCCCAGATGTTTCTCCTGTTTGAAGCCCAGCTAATGGATGGTGTAGCTAATGGATGTGGCTGCTGGGGAGAGAGAAAGTTCTGTTGAAACTCCACAGCTCCGCTGAAGTGTTTTAAAAGTCACTAGGGCTATTATGATCACGTAGTCAGATTTTCTACAGAGACTAACGTCCACTGAGCCTGGCAGCAACCAGAACAAAGAGGTGTGTGTGGCTGCTAATTGCAGAACAGCAAGAGTTCATTAAGTAATAAAACACTTTTAAAATGAAGCAAGAAGGAGTCCAAGTGAGGAGCATTTAATTCTAATGCATGATGGGGTTAGTATTTTGCCTTCAGTGCTGTTAAATCATTGAAATAGCAAGACTGCAAATTTACTGCTTGCTAGGCTAATAATATGTTGTTTTATTATCCACAGCCTGTATGCTGCTTTCTAATTACAAGTCTGATACAACAAAAGCGCAACCTCTGCTTGTTCTGTCATGTTTCCTTTACTCTCCACCCTCCTCTCCCTGCACGCACCTTACTGCCCTGCAGCAGTCCCCGGACCAGACTCACTCTCCTGCAAAGAACACGGCGTGCAGCCCGGTTTGTGTTTCAGTGCGCGTTCTCAATGCCCAGAAGCACGTGTAGATGTCAGCGGCTGGAATAAGGCACTCCAGTTCTTACAGTGGTGGGACCAGGAGGCTGTGGTTGGCCTGCAGGTGGCATTGGCAACTCAGATTTAACTTCATGCCAGTGCCTTGGTGCAATAAGGAGCATTCAGGCATTAGGGTCCTGTGACGCAAAGCCATTGGGCTGGGTCTAGTTCACAGGCTGCCAGTTTAAACTATTTTCTTGGAGAGAGAGTGCCTCCAAAGGTGGTTTCCCAGCTACCAGCATCTGGTTCTGCAAGGCTGTTGGAGAAGGCGGTTGTGTGTGCGAATGCTGCGCTCTAGTGGTTTGCACAGCTTGGAGGCAATGTCCATGCTGTGCGAGTTTGGAGGATGTCACCATGTCTTGGTGAGGCCAGAGAACATGTCCATGCCTTGGAGAGACCGAAGGACATGGCCATGCATTGGTGAGGCTGGAGGATGTGGCCATGCTTTGGTGAGGCTGGAGGACATGGCCATGCATTGGTGAGTCTGGAGGATGTGGCCATAGATTGGTGAGGCTGGAGGAGATGGCCATGCCTTGGAGAGACTGGAGGAAATGACCGTGCCTTGGCAAGGTTGGAGGACATGGCCCTGCCTTGGTCAGGCTAGAGGAAATGGCTGTGTCTTGGAGAGACTGGAGGAAATGGCCATCCCAGACCCATGCAAGTACCTCTTCAAGGTGTATCTGTTTCTTCAAGGGGGGACTCCCTTCCTTGGCTTTGCTGTCGTAGCCTAGCACATGTAGTGTCCTTCACTATGCACTAGTTTTAACGTTTCAACTCCCCACTGTAGCTCCCTCCTGCTTTACAGCTCTTTTCCTTGTTTATTGGTATGATCTTTACCGTTAACAAAGCAAGGCTAATTTTATATCACTTGAGGTTTCAACTAAATATCCCAGATCACATCTAGCCAATTTACCTATCTTCTTTTTTGACTGGCTTGTTCTTCTGCCAAATTTCTATATTTGGAGCCATCAGGGAGCTCTTCATTCCTGGTGCATTGGCTCATCCTCCAAAATTGCTGCACTGTGACGGTGCTCCTTTGCATTCCTGGCTTATTAAAGGCAAGGTGGTGGATTCCCTTACGTCTCACCTGGCGTCTCCTCCAGGATGTTTTTCAGCTTCCCTCTTCATACGTCTCAGCGCCACAGCCCTCTTTTAACTTCTTTTCCCACCTTCATCTCGTGCTGTTTTCCAGGTTGAGTCAGACACGTTAAAAAAGCACACGGAGAGGTTCTTGGCTGACAACCACTGCAGGGCAGGGCTGGCTTGTGGGGAGAAGGTGGATACTACCAGGACATGCACAGATGATGACAACAGAAGCACACATTTTTGACAGGCATTGTCATGTGAAAGTGAAACCCTTGTTAAATTGTTACATAGTGAAAGTCTCCAAAATTGCTATCTTTGCCAAAGTTAAAATGGAGCCTAATTGGGTTTCTGGGGTTTTTCTTTCTGTCTTTGATTTCATGGCCGGGTTGGACGGGGCTTTGAGCAACCTCAAAGGTTGGGAGATGTCCCTGCCCAGGGCAGGGGGTTGGAACTAGGTGATCTTTAAGGTCCAACCTAAACCCTTCTATGATTCTACATAGTTTTGGAGTGTACTGGTTAAGAGGGTTTAGATGTGTAGTCTCACAGATATTACTGGGTATTAACACGAAAGACAAGTTATTGTTGTGATCAAGTAATTAAAGTTCACTTGGCCTTTCAGTAAGTTAGGCGGGTTCATGCGGGGTTTTAGTCAAGTATGGCATGAAATAAGGTTTTCTTTGAAGGTTGGGGCAGTGCCTGTATCCAGACTAGAATAAAAATAATATATAAATGTGAACTGCTCACTCTGGTTAGCAGGGAGGATGACACCTACGAGCTTTGGAGCTAAAAAGCGATGAAGAGTTACGGCTTTGGATCAAAGAACCAATTTCTGCAGGAGAGTTGCCACAACAAAGCCGCGTTTCTTGTGGTTCAGGCAAAGATGAACACACTCAGTGCTGACCAGCAAGGCTCAGGATTCATTCTTGCCTGGGAAGCCTATGGTAAAGGGAGTGTTTCACCTTCTGTGATTCTTGCCTGGTGTGGGCCACAGCTGTCCAAGACTTCCTAAACTTTATTCAGTTTCATTGTAAAATTATTTACGGACCTTTTTCTTCACCTCAAAAACCACCTAGGGGGAGCCATTTCCCCAGCTCATAAGAAACCACAGTTTTTAATAAATATACTCAAGCACTGGGTTTCATCCCAGCCAGTGCCAGATGTTGGTGGGGCAGAACACTGGTCCCCCTCAGCTGTATTTGTAGTCAGCGGGAAGAAATTGTCACTTCTGGGGGATATTTCATGTGACAATGAAAACATGAAAGCATTCATTAGCTCTTCAGTGACTTCAAAAAAATAATCTCCTGGTTTACTACATAGTCTCTTTAATCTGGGTGCAGCGTGCGATAAGAGGTTGACTCACTGAGAAAGTCACCCGCAGAACCGGAGGAAGTTTATCTACTCCTGGTGGTTTTTGTGGCCTGTCGTGCTGCCGGTCACAATTTTGACAGCTGATCTTGTTGTGCAAGGGCTGCAATCAAACATGACTCTAGCTCATCTTTTCCGCTCGTCTGAGAGTCACCGGCTGGCGTATTCCCATTGCGCTGATAACAGGTGATTGCGTGAGGATCATGGGGGCACCAGGACACCAACAGTCAGGTGCTCTCCAGAGCTACATGAGCTAAAAATGAGGTTCTCTATGAACTGCACCCACCCAAGGGGGTGATTTGAACTTCACCAGGAGCTCCTATTTTTCCCCAGAGAAGCCAGTGCCCTGTACCCACCCCGCACCCACAGCCGAGCCCAGCTGCCAGGCACTATGGGGTGGATGAGATGCGCTGCCAGCTCTAACCAGGGACTAAAGTTAGAGAAGGACACGGAGACACCAGTGCAGCTCTCACGCCATGAAGCCAATGCCATGTGTGTGCGCAAAGAGGCCAAGTGACGGAATGGCCCCATTTCTGGGGACCACTAGGACATTTCCAGGGACTGTGAGACCTCTGGAAAACCACAACAGTATGTTTTTGGGTGCACCTCTGCCTCGCCAAACCCCTGAGGCAGGGGATGCCACTGCTACCTGCCTCTCCAAATACCATTCAGTCTTACCATGCCAAGGAGGATTATACAAAAGGTAATTACTCTTACGATGGGGAGCTGACATTCAACGACTCATCCTCAGGGATGAGTACGCTGATGCTAGTCACTACGAGTGTTGCACACAGGACAGCTTTTGCATAGGAGCTAATAGGATATGTCGTGAATACCTCATACCTTCAAGGCACGTTTAGTAGCTATATAAAAGCTCTCCTTCTCTCCGGGCTCACTGGTCACATCACAAAGCTGTTCTCACCAGGGAGCTGGGTAAGTCTGGTTCGTGCTGAGCCTTTGTAGCTGCTGAAGTGCAGATTTATTTCTGCTTTCTTACATATAAATAATGCTCTGTGGGGAAAAGTTTTTAAAACTAGGTGGTTTGAATTGCTGTGTCGGAGGGGGAGCGCACTCTCTTACAGTGTCTCCAGCTGGGCATCCAAGAGACACTCCTGAAAAACCTGAAAAGGTTGTTAGCAGTCATTGGGGTGCTGCTATAATTGTTTGCTTTTGAGGGGGCCTGACAACAGTCGGAGCAGCTTTGGTGTATCAGGGACCAGAACGCTAGAAGAGCTGTAAGCAGGTTTGTGTTCAGTTGTGGTATCGCTACCCTTTAATTGGCTTTGGTTCCCTAATGAGCATGAGCTTTGTGATGCTGGGACTGAGTCGTGAGCCTCTGCCTGCCCGTGGTGTGACGGGATCTCCAAGCAGCGGTGCCTTGGGTGCTTTTTGCTATCTCCTCCGGCAGATGTGGCCAGAGGTTCAGAGATTGTTTCTGGGTTGGGCTTTTTTCTTGATGCATCAGCAAGAGGTCAGAGGCAGTTGCTGACCGAAAGCAGGAGGGAATAACTGGATTTAATGACTGAGAGATCAGCCATTCCTCTGCTACCTCCAAAGTTCTTTTGCCTTGGAGGTCCAGGTGGTGGGGAGGGAGTTGCAGTTTGGGCTGCGTGTCTCTGAATTTCCCCACTGTTTGACTTGGTGCTGTGTTTCAGAGTTCAAAATGATGGGTTGGGTCCTCAGCTGCTGCTGGTGTGGTTTTGAGACTGTGGCATAGGCGGGACGTGTCTCCGGCACCCTGTGAAGCGAGCCCGGTCCTGCCGCACAGCCGCAGTGGAACCGCGAGAAGCTCAGCCGGGTGCCTGTCTAAAGGCTCTGCTTTCTCACGTGTCATTCCAGTCCTGCCGAAACCTCTCAGAGATGTCGTGCTACCTACACCAGTGCCTCCCACCAGTCTACCAGGGCCCCATCCCCATCAAGTGCCCACCGATGTACACCACCAGACCCCCGCCAGTGCCTACCTGGCACTCGACACTGTGCATCCCACAGTACGTGTCCCCCTGCGTCCCCCGGCAGCGGCTCATGTCCTCCAGTTTCTCCCAACAGCAGTGTGTGACCAAGTGCGTGCCGCGGCAGCACTACGCAACCAAGTGCGTGCCGCGGCAGCAGTGTGCGACCCAGCGCATCCTGCAGCAGCCCTGCGTAACTCGGTGCGTGACAACCTGCGTGCCCCAGCAGCAGTGTGTGACCCAGGATGTGTCGCAGCAACCTTGTGTGACCAAGTGTGTGCCGCAGCACCCGTGTACGACCCAGGGTGTGCCGCAACAGCGCGCAACCAAGTGCGTGACCGCCTATGCCCACCAGCAGCAGTGTGCCACCAACTGCGTCCCGCAGCAGCAAGGTGCGACCAGGCAAGTGACCACGTGTGTGCCACAGCAGCCGTACCTGACCAAGGGCATCCCACAGCAGCAGTGTGCCACCAAGTGCGTCCCCCAGCGGTGTGTCACCACGTACGCCCCGCAGCAGCAGTGCGCCACCAGGTGTGTCACCACGTGCGTCCCACAGCAGCGTGCGACCAAGTGTGTCTCGCACCAGTTTGTGACCTCTTGTGCCCCGCAGCAGTGCGCCACCACTTACGTCCCGCAGCAATATGCAACCAGGTGTGTGACCAAGTGTGTCCCACAGCAGCAGTGTGAGACAACCTGTGTCCCACAGCAGCAGTGTGTGACCAAATGTGTCCCAGAGCCGCAGTGTGCCACCAAGTGTGTCCCACAGCAGCAGTGTGCCACCAAGTGTGTCTCGCAGCAGTGTGCCACCAAGTGTGTCCCACGGCAGCAGTGTCCCACCAAGTGTGTCTCACAGCAGTGTTCCACCAAGCCACCAAGTGTTTCCCGCAGCAGCAGTGTGCCACCAAGTGTGTCTCACAGCAGTGTGCCACCAAGTGTGTCCCGCAGCAGCAGTGTGCCACCAAGTGTGTCTCACAGCAGTGTGCCACCAAGTGTGTCCCACAGCCGCAGTGTGCCACCAAGTGTGTCTCACAGCAGTGTGCCACCAAGTGTGTCCCACAGCAGCAATGTCAGTCAGGTGGAGTAAAAATTTCAAGTCACTCTAAAAAGTACTGCTCTGCGTCCAAATGGCCCTGGTAAAACAGAGAGGGGAAAGGAAGGTGGACAGAAAAAGCGGGAGGTAGAGCTTTGGGGCAGGGGTTATTTATCTCCTCCTACCACCTGTCGACTAGTTCCTATTGCTTGAGTCTGCTTTATCGATGTTTTCCAGCCCTTCCCCTGGAGCTCAGCTCGATTTCGAGCCAGGGTCTGATACTATTTCCATGGCTGCACTGCAGGAGCCTGTGGCTTGTACCTTAATGTGCTACAAGGCATAGTTTAGTGGGATGCTCTTAAATTCTCACCTAATTGAAATGAATTGTGAGTTTTCCAAAAAAAAAAAAAAAAAAAAAAAAAAAAAAAAAAAAAAAAAAAAAAAAAAAAAAAAAAAAAAAAAAAAAAAAAAAAAGAAATAGAAATGTCGAAGGAGTCCCGATCACGACAGCATCAAGAGGACTGGCAGTGTGGCAGTGCGGCCGGCGGAGGGCTGGCCTGTGCCCCGCTCCGAGTTTAGTCCTGGCCTTGGGAGAAAACGTTCAGGTTAACCGGGATTCCATGAAGCTGCGAGTTCTCCAAAACAGCTGTTTTCACTCATTTGGAAGCCAAACGTGAATTTGCTAAGCAAACGGTATGCGAATCTTCCTCCCACTGCCTTCGTTTCGGAAGGTGGCCAGAAATCCCCGCTGCTTTAAGACACCGACTCTGCATCGACTTCAGCAGAGTCCCTGATCAAGACCGGATTTCTGGCTTGGTGATGTTGGTCCTCGCTGAAATTTTATACGTGAAAGTTTTTATTCACTTGGTTGCTTTAATCAATATTGAAAACACGACTTGAAACAAAAGAAAGTCTTTGAAATAACACTGAAAGTTGTAGCACGACTGTTTTATAAATGTTTGAGCTATAAAAGCGCTTAACTATATTCTTCATGCTGCCTCAAGATGTGTACTGTACACTGTATTGAAAACAAACCATATATATATATATGTATACTTATACATATATATACTGAAATAAATATAGTTGTCTGACCTCAGATTAAGTATCTTGTCTTTTTGCCCTCTGGTGGCTCTTCTTCATTAAATATAGTGAACTCCTGTCTGAAAAATACAAAAATCCTGTAATATGCCCTATCATTAGGAAAATGACTGGTAGCTCACACTTAAGTGGATTGTGCGTATTTGGAGGGCAAAAACAAGTGTCGCAAGACGAAGAGGAGGGTGTGACTGGGGCAAGGACGCTGCCCCGCATCCTGCCCTGCTCCACCCTTACTTGGTGACCTTGGGGTGCCACCGCAGGCTGCCCTCTGAAGGCAAGGAGGTGGCATCTAGCCATGTCAAGGTGGCAGCTGGCTGCTTCCTTGGGTTGTGCAGCGTGTGATGGGGGAGCAGACCCTTTTCATACCTCCTCCTGAATGTCCAGTGATGATGCTCCGGTCCAGAGAGGGACGATGCTTCATTCCGGAGAGGCAGCATGCAAGGGCAGCAGTGACCATGGCCCTCTTTCCACCTTGCAGAGCCAAGGATGGTCTCACAACCCAATCCAACGTCTTGTGTCCACTTTAAAACCAGGAAACGAGCGATGGTGAGGCCTTCTGAGGAGCTGTCACATCATCGTGGCTTTCCCATAGGAGCCAGAGCCCAGGGGATCCTTAGGACAACCTTCCTGGGTGGTGGATGGCCAGGTGGCCCAGAACCTCATCTCACAGGGGTGGAGTGGCCACCGGAGCACAGAGCTTGTTTTCAAGGCAGTTGTGATGGAGTCTGGTTCCGAGCCCGGCCCTGACTCATCCTGTGCCGCCAAGTGACTGCAGCGCAATGTGCCTCGGTTTCCCCTGTGCTTAATTGGGAATAATAATAGCCCCCACAACGATGTCCCATGCGGCGCTGTGCGTCTTTCTCAGATGAAAGGACTTTACAGATGCTAATTAAGAACATTGGGATGACAGGGCACGATGTTATCATCGGGTTAATATTTTGCTACCCGCACTGGCAACACTAAACTGGATATTAGCATTATTTGAAGGCTACTGGATCTGGAGCTTGCCCAGGAACTGGATTTATGGAGCTTATAAAAATTGTGTTAATCTGCTTACCTGCTCTTTGGCGCCGGCTTGATTCCTAAAATCTTGGGTCAGATCTTTTAACACTAAAAAGGGCGTTGTGGTTCCGGGGAGTGAAACACAATGAAAGTTAGAGAAATCCAGCTTGGATTCAGTGCTTTTGTCTTCAGTTGCAGAAAAGAAGATAAACCTAGAGAAAGCACTCTTCCCTTTGGTTTTTGTAGCTCTTGAAATGTTGGCATCAACTGAGAAAACATGAACTTTGTATTTTTTTTCTGTGATACTGAGGGAGATTTTTTTTTTTTGTTGTTGGAAAATCAGAGATGTAAACGAACAACCCTTCAGGCTTGTGGATTTTCTGGTGAAAACAGAACTAGAAAACTCAGTGGTTCATAAGCTAGAATTCAATATTCTGCTTCAAATCACAGAATCATAGATCATTTATGTTGGAAAAGAACCTTAAGATCATTGAGTCCGACCATAAACGTAACACTGCCAAGTCCACCAATAAACCATGTGCCTAAGTGCCACATCCACACGTCTTTTAAATACCTCCAGGGACAACAACCCAGCAGCATCCCCAGTGCTTCATATCCATGAGAAATTTTCCACCTAATCCATCAAAAGTTAACTTATTTCACCACTTTTTATTTCAATATGTGGGACCTTGCCTGAATTCCCAGCATGCTGGAACCCAATTCATAGGTGTCAGGTTTGCATGAAAGGAAAAAAAAAAAAATATCACAGGGCCTTCGCTTATGCAGATATGACTCCCTAAAAATGCATTCCTCGTCGGCACTTAACGCTCATGCCACTGTTAATTTTCCCTTGGGTTTACTCGTGGCATAAACAGGGAACAAAGGGACGGATGAATGGTGCCGGGACTGTGCAGCAGAGCAGGAAATGCAATTTGTGTTTTCAGGACACGAGCACGGTTTGATTCAGCCGCCTTTCCCCGGGCCACCCCAGCGCTCCCTCTCCTCCCTTCTCCCCTTTGTTGTGCCGGAAAAGCGTCACCTCTTTCGGCCGGTTATTCACTTTGTGGCAAGTCTTTTTTAGTAGCCGTCTTGCCCTTAGCCCAAGGCTTTCTCAGTCCAAATCATCTGTCTCTTCCCTGGGTTCCCTGTGTAAGTGAAGGAAGTCTGCGTGCCACAGTAATTATGGTCTACAAAAAGTTGCCGAGAGTCCTTCCTGGATGGTGTTTTCAAAGGCACCAAAGGGACTTATGCATGCAGCACCCATGGAAATGAGGAGTCCCTTGGGCAGTTGCTTCAGTGGTCTCAACTGCAATCTTTTTCTGGGAGGAATGGTGTGGTTTTTAGCTGGCCTGGGTTTGCAATGGGCAGGCAGGGACGCCTGGGCATCGTGCATTCCCAGTATGAGGACCATGAGCAGCCCCTGCATAGGGTGAGGCACTGGTGCGAGACAGCGTGTCCTCTCCTTACTCTGAGGGCGGTGATCCCCTGGGGCAGGTTGCCCCGAGAAGCTGTGGCTGCCCCATCCCTGGAGGTGTTCAAGGCCAGGTTGGACGGGGCTTGGAGCAACCTGGTCGAGTGGAAGGTGTCCCTGCCCAGGGCAGGGGGGGGAATAAGATGGTCTTTAAGGTCCCTTCCAACCCAAACCATTCTATGATTCCTTGACCTGCCAGGGGCTTTGCTGCTTCAGCACATTGCATCGGGATGTTGCCCCTCGTGAAGCTCAGAGATAAGCCAGACAACCCGGCAGTGCCGGGCGGCGATGGTGGCCCTGCAGAGTGGGGACAGCCATTCCTGCCGGCGCGAAGCTGCACGTGGCTTGGCCAGGACTGGCAGGCAATTAAAGCATCACCCAACCAAACCGCCTCACTCCCCTAGGGCACTTATTCACTGTATAAAAGCCCGGCCAGCGCGGGGCTCTCCTAGGCACTTCTCTCCGGTTGTTCTCACTGATGAAGTGGGTAAGTCTGGCTTTTAATGGAGCTCCTGAAATGCTGTTTTATTCCTGGGTGGCCGGAGCAGGCAGAAGTCCTGCCTGTGTACTCGCAGAGAAGCATCCTCTCGGGGATGCTGCCTTCAGCATCGGCATGCACGGCTCCAACAGATGGAGCATCTCCTCTGTGCTAAACTGAAGAATATTGGGAAAGCGATTCCAGATGGACTGTGAAGTCAGGAATGGGATTTGTGGGCTTTTCTACGTTTTCTGTTAGATCTAGTCCAAAGGAGGCTATTGACTACGGGCGGGAGTCAGATATGAGCTTGCACCCGAAAAGGCAACTCCTCTAAAGGAAGTGGCATGGAGAAATTTGCTGCCATTTTCTGGAATTTAAACAAAGCGGCCTTTCAGATAATAATAAGAAGCAGCTGACCAACTTCAGTGCCAACATGAAAGTCAGCAAAGAGACTGTAGCTAAGTCTGAACATGTTAAAATTTCTATCTATCTAGGCTAATAATGATAAAAATAAGTCTGAGGTGCAAACAACCCCCTGGAAGGAAATAATCCCTCTACTTTAGAAGTTTTTAATCTTGATGAGCATCACCAGATACTTTAGCATTGTATATGTAGTAGTAGCAATTGCTATCATTGTTTTTCAATGGGTCGTTTTTATTAGTCGAAGATTATTATAATTGTAGTGATAATAAGTTTTCCTAATGATGGCAACACACAGCATTGTTATTGTTAATAGTCACACAGCGACAGGCTTTTGGAAGATAAAACGCCTTACTGTAATTATAGACAGAACAAGGGGTGTTCGGAAAATGCAGTTTGTTTACAGTCATTTAATTATATGTCTTAATCTCCAAACAATGTCGAAATGAAAAAAACATTTTCAATCAGAGGTTCCGGTACCTGTTCTTCTCAAAATAATCCTGTTAAAAACTCAGAAAACTGCCTGAAACTGGTGTTTTCCAGAGCAATTGTGGAATTCCAGAGTAATCCCACAACGAAGTG